GCTTTATAGAATAGAAAAAGGGATAGAAATAAAAAAATAGAAAAAAGGACTGCTTTTGAAAGAGTTAGATCAGACTCAGTCAGGACTAAATTATTTATTTATTTTATTCCCTGAAAATGGACTAGTGTATATAGTGAACACAGAAAGCATCTGATCAATATATCAGTATAATTTAAATAATATTTTCAGAAGCTTGAAACCTTGAAGTTAATGGCAGCACATTCAAGTTAATTGCCTTGCTTATCCTTATTAATTAGCTCATGAAAATAACTGTCTTTAAATACAGTACAGGTGTTTGTCTTATCTGCAATAGAAAAGTTATTTCCTATTGGGAGTAACTTTAGAACATTAGTTAGGTTCACCTTAGAACAGAGGTTGCTGCTTTTCTGTTTGCTGTCATCCACTATAAGCACAATATAATCTGTGAAGTAAAATAACATTGCAGCTGCTGTCACAGCTGATGGTGAGGATGTCCAGAAGTGAAAATATGAGTCTCCACAGTTTGCTCTAAACTAAAGAGTCTAGCTATGTAGTTAAGAGCTGAAACAGATTCCAATCTTTCATGGATTGGCATAGAGAGGGGACAAAATGAACAATTACCATGGGGTTACATCAGTGTCTTTATTTGGTCAAATAGTAATAGAGATGTAGCCGTGTTAGTCTAGTCTCGCTGAAACAAAAAACAGGACTATGTAGCACTTTAAAGATTAACAAGATGGTTTATTAGGTGATGAGCTTTTGTGGGCCAGACCCACTTCCTCAGATCAAATTGTGGAAGAAAATAGGCATGACCATATATACCAAAGGGATACAATAAAAAAAAAAGTGAACACATATAAAAAAGACAAATCAAATTTCAGAACAGAGGGGCGATGGGGGGGGGAGGTAAATGTCTGTGAGCTAATGATATTAGAGGTGATAATTGGGGAAGCTATCTTTGTAATGGGTAAGGTAATTAGCGTCTTTAAGATGTAAAGTGTCAAATTTAAGCATGAATGACAGTTCAGAGGTTTCTTTTTAAAGTCTGGTGTGAAAATGCCTTTGAAGCAGTATGCAGGTAATCAGGTCATTGAGACAATGCCCTTTCTGGTTGAAATGGCAAGAAACTGTTTTTTCTTTGTGATACTGTCTGATATCCGTTTTGTGGGCATTGATTCTTTGGCGAAGAGTCTGAGACATTTGTCCACTGTACATAGTAGACGAACACTGTCGGCACATGATGACATAAATTATATTTCTGGATGAGCAGGAATATGTGTTCTTGATCTTATAACTGAATTGGTTAGGTCCAATAATGGTGTACATATGTGGACAAACGGGGTTTGTTGCAAGGAAAAGTTCCAGGGTTGGTCTTAGTGTGGTATGTCCCGTGGTTGTTGATAAGAATCATCCTGAGATTAGGTGGTTGTCTGTAGGAGACTATGGGTCTGTCTCCCAGAGCCTCTCGGAGTGTAGTATCCTCTTCTAGTATAGGTTGTAGTTTATTGATAATGTGTGGGACGGGTTTAAGTTAGGGGCTATAGGTGATAAGTGGTGTTCTATTGTTGGTTTTCTTGGGTCTGTCTTGAAGTAGATGGTTTCTGGGTATTCGTCTGGCTCTTTCAATTTTTTTATTTCTCCTGGTGGGTAATTGAGGTTTATTTTGTCAAGGGTTTGATGCATACCAGTTTTGTAAATTCATACTAACATGGAAAGATTTTGAAGATGTAGGATATGACTGAATTTCTGCCCGTGGGGCTTGAAAATAATTCTTTCTTAGCTTCATGCAATACCATAAGATACTTTCTCTCAGAAATAGGAAGCAAAGTAAAAGTTGAAGAATAGGAAGTGACTAAATGAGATTACTGCTACTTGTTTAGTGACATTTATGAATTGCATTGCACAAAGAGGCAGTCTAAACATTAATTTGCTGGTGTCATTGTTACCTTACCTCCTCACATCCTGTTTCACCCACCTGACGTATATTGTCTTTTTAAAGACTGTTTGGGACAAGGACTGTCTTTACAATATATCAGTAAAATGTCTAGTACAATGAGGCCTTTGCTTGGTTTATATATGGATTACAGTATATAAGGAAAATTACTAATAATAAAGATCTCAAAAGTGTGTCCTCCAGTTAAAGAACAGCTGTAAAAATATAACATTTCAGAGAAAGGATAGTGTTGTGGTTAAGAGACTACATGGATGAGGCTCAGGAAACCTGGATTTTGCTCCAGGTTCTGCCGTAGATGTTCTTTTGTGAACTCAGTCAAGTCTTAATAATCTCTGCGCTCCTCTGTTCCTTTATCTATAAAATGGGATTTTTTTTAGCTCAAAGGAGGACGGATTCATTAATCATATGTAAGTTGGCTGCTCAGATACTGCTATGATGTGTGCCAAAGAAACACCTGTACAGAAAAACAAATATGGGCAAAGTGACAGGATGATGAGGGGGCATGAAGAAGGAAATAGTTGCTAAACTAAAGGATTTTTCAATCAGGAAAATGATTTTAGCAATATGCTGCTGGAAGAAAATGGTGCACGTGGTTTGGAAAATACTAATTTTCCTTCAGTAGAGAAAGCCCTTCCATGTGCTTAGCAGCCACACATGAGATCAAAAGGGATTACATAACCATACACTGCCCTTTTGAAGTTACAAGCAGACATTAATAACAAGCAGACATTAATAACTAGGCATTGGTAAATATTTTAATCATTTTTCTGCAAGGAAAAAAAAACACCATATAGTTGTGTTCCTTTTGTATTTTTTTTATTTCTGCAAATGAGAAACAGTGCAGATTATGCAAGGGTGAGGGAATAATTGTGGGGAAATAATTATGAATATACAAATGGATGGCCTTACTCTTAAATAATAAGATAGTTTTAATTAGGAAATCGGTATAGAACCATGTGAACCCTGTACTAAATCAATGCTAACTCAATCCAGGTCAAATTCTTCATCTGAAGAAGTGGGCTGTGCCCACAAAGCTCATGATACCATCTACATGTTTTGTTAGTCTTTAAGGTGCCACTAGTCTACTGGTGTTTTTTAAGTTTTTCCTGTTACAGACTGTCAAGGGTCCTTCCCCGCGCTGGGGTTGGACCTCCCATCTAGGTCCTTCCTTTAGGAGGACAATAAGTCTTTCTCTCCCTTCTGAAGCCTGTATCGCTGCTCTGGCACCGGCCGCGCGTGAAGGGGGACCTGGGCCCTCCCTCTCTCCAGGTCCCAGCCCATGACCCTAAGTGTCACTGACGCCCTGCTTGACCGGGGGGGGAGGGGGAGGAAGGTACTGCCACAACTCACCAGTCCTCGGGTCCTCCTTGTTCCTGTCCTGGGCTGCTTCCTCCTCTCGGGCCATCCGCCTTTCCTCCCCACCAGGTCCTGCGGTTACTCTCACCTGGTCC